CTTACCAGAGCGCCATGTAAATGAAAACTCAACACCGCAGAATTTTTCTGTAGTTGTAGCCCGTAGCGCAGAAATCTGCGGAATTTAGATTTTTCCGTGTCAGCTGATTTCTTCCTTCTATAGATGGTTGCCACTTCGTCAGTTTCGCAAATGGTAAAAAATGTATAATTTCCTATTCAAAATACGTTTAAAATATTTAAAATTTACTATTGAATAAAGTTTTTTGTTGAAAACTAAGTAGTTTATATTTAGTTACGATCTATTATAGCACGAAAAGTTGTAGTTGAAAAGGTAAGTTTATGAAAACGCATTGATGAGTGGCAACACTGTAGTAAGCAACACTGAGGGCTCCGGTAATCGACAAAATTCTGCGTATACAGACTGCGTTTAAGTATACGTTCTGCGTTCTTGACTAATTTCAGCTTAAATCAGTTAATTAAAAATTTTTAATAATAAAATTTCATTATGATATAATGATTATGAGCAGATGGTCTGATGGAAGCGTTAGCATAGGTCGCCATGCTATTTATCAGACAAGCGCTAGCGATTGTTAGGTCTGGCGACCTGCTGCAGCTTCCCACAATCCCGGTGGGGGCGTCGTCGTTCATGGTACAGGAACGCCAATCCCCCACCATTATCTCCCTCGTGATCTTTTCGGAGCACTTTATAGGTGGCGCGACTCAACAGCGTTGAAGTTGTATGCAGTAGGGATGGGTAAATTCGATATTCGAAACTTCGATATTCGAATTTTAATCGAATTTTAGCTCCAAAATGGCGAATTTTTGAAATCGAACTTTGTGTTGCTAAAATTCGGATAAAATCGAATTTTTTCAGAAAAAGTCGAATTTCATCTTTATTTCAAAAAAATCAATTCTTCACCTTTCTTCTTTCTGACTAAATTTTCCATCACTGTGTGCGGCACTACACTTGTCTTAGAGATTCAAGTGCAAAATTAGATGTTTTTCGATCTGTTATTCCAAACTCAATTTTAAAAATTTTTGTATAAAAAACTAGTTCATTCGTTGATTTTTTATTTATAATTTTTAGAGGGTTTTACGTTGATAGCATGACGCTTTTTCCTGAGAAGACCCCTATTAAAATTTTCCTGAGAATAATTTTTTAAAATAAATCAATCCAGTAACGATCTGCCAAATCTCGTTTTTGCGAGATTTCTTGAAGTAAGTGTCAAAAATGATCGTTTTAGGCGGTAGCTAATGGGTTAAAATGTTCTACGAAAACATTTCCCTAGAAATTTTAGTATATATGTCTCAACCTTTAATTTTTTCAGACATTTATTTTAACTATTTTTTCGACTTTTTTGAAAACCACTTAGGCCGAAATATGAAAACTTTAGTAGGCGATAAAATAAAAATACGAGCTAACTTTTGCAAATCCATTGAGCGTATTACTACTTAATGGGTATACATTCAGAAAATGTTAACAAAGTCCGGGCTGGGTTCGGCTGTCGCACAGTGTAATTTGAGTTTAACTTTTTAAACAGGTGGCCACTCTCTTCAAGCACTTCAAAAATAATTGCGTTCCAGATGCTTCACGATATTCACGAAATTCACGATTTGCAGGAGCAGCTGTTTTCCCCATTAATAAACCTTATGGGAGGTGGTCACCTGGAACGACTTCCTGTAAAACCTGCAAATCTTGAAGCATCTGGAACGCAACTAATATTTAAATTGTTGCATAGTATTTTAAGTACAACACTTCTTTAACTAAATTCGACATTTCAAACAGGCGGCAACCCTCCTAAATGTAATTAAAAAATAAAGTTTATTCAAAACCATTTCGATTGATATCCATATTGAAGTAATCTATTTAACTTATTAAACAATTTGATTTTGATTTTCTTACATATGGCACACAACTAAAACCATGTTATACATCTACAGGGCAAGCCCATTCATTTCACACCTACCCCCTTTTTAAAAATAAAACGAACGATACAGATTTCATGACTTGGTGTTAAATATTTAACGCAAACATCAGCGGAAGCGATTATTTGAATTTGATTTTCTAACCTGTGGTAACCCATTCCATAGAACTAAAACTATTGTGCAGACAGCCTTTCCACTTCAAAAATATTTTTCAAAATTCGAATGAAA